ATTGGTGATAGCTACAGGAGACTCTATGGTGAGCAAGGGTCAATTAGTGGGTATGGTTGGGTTTCAGGTGACGTCACAAGCTTTGCTGAAGTTAGTGTCCGCCATGTTGGTGTCCCTCGGGTGTCAAATTTATGAATAATTAGTCGATTTCTATAGTGAAGCCCTCTCTCTTATCGCCGTATTATTTCGCCAACTACATGAATATCCAGAAAGAAAAAAGCGATTAAAGTACCTGGCATTCGTCTTAAGGTATCCCAGTGCCTTCTGAGTATGCCGAAAGCTTAGAGAGTTGGATAAAGGAAAGATGTTTGCAAAAGATCTCGGTCATCGGGGTTGACCCCGCAAGCATACCAGCCGAGAAGTTCAGTCCAAAATGCTTGCCTCCTGTGGAAGTGTCGAACTTGCTGAGTTACCTCGTTCTTGAGACCAGCTTCTACACCAAGAAGCAGTTCAAGGCGTTCAAGAGTCTGGAGGCGTTTAACCAAATGGTGTCGGGATTTGTAACCTCAGTTGTAGGCAAAGTAATCGCCGGCAAGTATGTCGTGAGAGCACGAGAGATTTTACAATTGCAAAGTTTGCATTTATGTCACTCTATAGAGACAAATGAAATTTAGCAAAAATGTCTCTTTGTATATGTTACAGAAGCAAAGGACTTTGCAGTTAGTTAACTGCGAAATGTTTGTCTACACATATAAGGAAATCAGTTAACTTTGCGATTAATTAACTGCAAAATATTCGTCTCAATATATTAGGGCATCAGTGACTTCGCCATTAATTAAGTGCGAAATGTTCGTCTACATACATTAGGAAATCAGGTACTTCGTGATTACTTAACTGCGAAATGTTCGTCTACACATATAAGGAAATCAGGTACTTCGCGATTAATTAACTGCAAAATATTCGTCTCAATATATTAGGGCATCAGTGACTTCGCCATTAATTAACTGCGAAATGTTCGTCTACATACATTAGGAAATCAGGTACTTCGCGACTACTAACTGCAAAATATTCGTCTCAATATATCAGGGCATCAGTGACTTCGCGATTAATTAAATGCGAAATGTTCGTCTACATATATAAGGAAATCAGGTACTTCGCGATTAATTAACTGCAAAATATTCGTCTCAATATACAAGGGCATCACTAACTTCGCGATTAATTAACTGCGAAATGTACATCTTCACATATAAGGAAATCAATGATTTCGCGATTAATTAACTGCGAAATGTTCATGTTTTTCCTATTTCTCACAGTAGGATGTTTGGGAATTTCTGCGCACCTCGGCTGGGACCTCCATGAGTTTAATTAAGCCATTCTTACAAAGATTTCGTTTGAAGTTCACTATTCGTTAGAGTTGTCGCGTTGGTATGCTTATACAATATGTCTAGAATTCGCTGTATATCCACGATCGGTAAATCCAAAAAGGCTGCAGATTTAGTATCTAAAAGTGAACGATCAAGCTTCTACTCAGTTAATGTTAATCTTAGTGTGTGCAAGAGTGACGTACTTTAGAGAGAGAACTTAGGGATACCATTAGCGATAAGGGAACAAACAATGTTAAAACTTGGTTGAAATGTGTGACATAATTAAATTTTTGATAGAAATGCGGAGGTAGATGTTGCACTCAACTAATTGAGAAGGAAATGATGCCTTATCTATTCAGACGAACATTTCGCCGTTAATTAATCGCGAAGTCACCGATTCCCTACAATATTCAGACGAACATTTCGCAGTTAATTAATCGCGAAGTCACCGATTCCCTCATATATTCAGACGAACATTTCGCAGTTAATTAATCGCGAAGTCACTGATTCCCTTATATGCATATATGTACAAAGCGAATAATTCAAGGTTAGTTAACGGCGAAATTTGGATCTGTTATATTACAAATCAAAATATTTTAAAAAATATACAGAGATGTTTCATTGCAAATTTTCATAATTTCTCTATGGATATAATTAATTACAAATTTTTTACTTACATTAATTCCCTGAGTCGAGTTTATCTCTTGAATTTTCGAGGGGTCTGAGTTTTCGGAGTCTGAGGTCTGAGGTCTGAGTTTTCGGGGTGTGAGTTTTCGTGACACCCCAAGCTCGCTTGCACTCAGGTAAAATGCTCATGGAGTTTGCCGACATATGTCAATGAGGTGCCGTATGCGAGGGCTAAAGACATCGATTTCTCATCGGCTAAGAAGCTCAAAGAAACGCTCGACCAAAAATTCGAGGATCTGCAACAGCCGCAAGCCTCGAACCATACAACAATTTCTAGTTCCTCCTGTTCTTCCCCTTGATTTGTAATGATCTTAGGTATAGCGCATTAGATCATATATCTAATGAATTTTGCGCTATAGAAATAATAAAATTATTAAATTAATATACGAAAAAATCCTTAGTCTTTATGCTTTCCACTTTTGCTCGAACAGCCAACAACAATGCATAAAACCATCCCTTCTTTCTCACATGAACTCTTCGTTAGATACGGTTTGTTTACGATCGAGGGACACCAAGATAGCGGATAGTAACCGTTGCTAAGCTATTGGTCACGTGGGGGAAACCCAAGATTATTTCGTCACCCCCACCGACGCAGCCCCAAACAGTTTCTTTAGAAACTATCAGCCTTTATCCCTTTCGATTGATTGACATTTGCGGTTATACAAACGATTCGCATAAGTACGAACGCTTCAGTTACGAAAACAAAAAATTCGTTATTGGTAAATTTTCATTTTGAAGTTTGCCAACACCAAACCAAATTTTTCGATCGATGTAGTGCGAACAGAGCCTAACGGTTAAAAGTTGTCACTTTTCACACCCAATGGCTAAATGTTTTGCCGTTTTACATCTAACGGTTAACTCTTATCTTGATACGTCGGAAACATGCACACTTCTGAGGCTTAGCGGTTACCATGCATATCTAGCATCAAAGTCTCATTTTAATGGGCGTGTCTTAATCATCGATAAAATGTAGAAGGGGTGCATTTCCGTTCCCCTGTAGTGGCCAATTTAGACTTCATTGACTGGTCCTCTTTCTTCAACCCTGTCACTCCCGAGATCTCATTGGTTATTCTCCTTACTGCCTGCCACACTATTCTAATAATCAACCTAATGGATATTTTACTTAAATCTACTCACTTGTCTGCTTGATATTGTATTGATATTATAAAGAGAAATTCTGTCTAGCTCACTCCTAGGAATTAAAGAGTTAATTATGAGATTTGACCGAGATTGGGATAAGCTGGTAAAAACGGTCCGGATCCCAGTAATGGGAAAATTTTGGTCGGGATAGTAAGATGGAAAGATGCTACAGCCACTCTCCATCAAGTTGTCGTGTATGCTAGGCTCGATGATCAATCCTAGCTTAAAAAAGCGACACTTACTTGTCTGAAATGTAAGCAAATTAACAAACTTCTGTCTTGTTACCAAAGAAGTTTATTCAAGACAATGTATAAGATCATATTTAAAGTGTTATAAAGAGTCTATAAACATAATTTAATTTAATTAATTTAGTCCATTTTCACTGCATTAAGTTTTGCAGTGGGGAAGGACTAGAAAGGAACATAGGAACCATTCGTGCTAGTCCACCCTCCCACCCATCCCACCCCAGGGGAGGACATCCATCACACAGTAAGCTCGTAATTAATAGTTCAACCGAGCCCTATGGTAAGCCAATAAGCCAAGGCACATAATTAGTAAAACATGCATGTGCAGCGTGAAAAGAACAATACCTATTTCATGTACATAGGCATGGGCGCACTTTGCAAATTTTGGTGTGAATATGGTCACTTTGGTGTAAAAATCTGTCATCGGGGCACATTGCCTAATGCGACCCTAACTTTTCCAGTTCGCAAAAACTTTGAAAACCGGCCAAAACATCAAAGACGCCGTAGTGCTTGGGTGGGGCACGTAGATTTCGGGAAACTCGGGCTAAACAATAGCAATCACAGCGGTAACTGTCATCGCTTGTCAGTAAACAGCAAACGACTCGACTGGTCGCGGAACTGACCAGGCATACGGCGCTCGAAGTAATCTTCGCTGACGTCGATTTCTCGCTGTCATCATAGCGGCAGTCAAAACAGTTAAACAGGCGTTAGCCCATCTTTCATAGATCATACGAAAGACAAAAAAG